CAAAAAGTTCGTGAAGGATGAGATTCGAACTCATGCGGGAGAACCCATTTGGTTAGCAGCCAAACGCCTTAACCACTCGGCCACCTCCACCCATTACATAACGGAGTGGAATCTTAATCCGATGAAGTGATGCAGAACAGGCCTGTTTTACGCCCTTGCGAGTAACCGGTTTGATGGAAAAATTCGCATAAAGCAGGAAACCTATTTCCCAAGCATAAACAAACCAGCAAAATTACAAGAAACGCAGAGTACAGCAGAGAATTCCACAAAAATTTCGCTCCAGGGACCAGGACCAACCCAGTAACAGAAGGTCAGGAACAATACTGCGTTCTTCCTGCCAGGTTCTCGGACGAAAAGGGCCTTGTCGAGTCAACAGAACACTAGAATACGGCTTTCTAATAAACTGTCACAAAACTCTTGCACTGCCATATTTCCACAAAAACTTCCACGCTCGAGTTCAGCTTTTGGGACTGTTCAGGGTGCTTACCCTACGGACGAGATTAACCTGCTGATGGCGGAAGAGTGACAATAAGTTCGTAGTATACGGCGCACGCATAAAGCACTAATCTCGATGGCTGAGAGGAAACGTATGGGAAGAAGGGCTGTCATGAAACGGGATCCGTATACGAGCATAGCGCACTTTTTTTGACGCATCGTACACCACATAATTGCACACTTGAGCTCGTGATCTCCCCTGACAATCTAGGTTTCATCTGGCTTGCAATTGCGTCGAGTACAATGATTGATGGTTATTGACTGCAAGTGCGGAGGGAAAAAGCCGGGTTCCATCCAGTATTTAAGTTTAGAGAGGTGGTATCAACAATGCACCCCTGTCTCATTACATGGCTAAGGTTGTATTTGACCCCTGTCACTCTTCAACATTCGTACGAGAGCTGGGAGACCCGGTGAATATTTCAGGAGTTACGCAAGCTCGGGAAAGGTTCCCACAAATTGTGCCAAGCCTTCAGTTGGCGAACTGCAAAACCTAGTATGTTTAAGGTCCCTGACGAAAAGCAAAACTTGCGGACCCACAACAACACGCCGAACATCTCCAGCGCGACTTTCGACTTTCCTTCGGGGTACTCTGATGAGTTATGGGCGGCAGCTTTGACGATCTGCTGTAAGTTTTCAATCTAAAAAGTCACCTCTTCGTAACTGAATTTCCCCTTATCCAATTAATTAACCTCCTCAGTGTAGTTAGTTTTATCTACTTGGACAAGGAAAAGTTCTTTCTGTCTTCTAAGGTCTGCTGGCCTTATATTGCAATGGCATCGTTATAACCAGCTTGTATCGACAAAACAAAAGCTTGATTGCTCTGGATATCCTCTTCGCCAGTCTTGCCGTACAGAACTGCACCTTGGCCGTCTCCACTTTTCCTTTTGTCTGCATTTCCGCAATCTACCACGGATGGATCTTCGGACGAGCCAGTGAGTGATGTTCTCCATCTGTGGATAACTCTAGCCATAAGACGGAATATTTCTATTGCTTGTTTTCAGTGTGCAACGCATATGCATTTACGACCACCACGTTCGGTCTCTCGTCCATCTATACTTTATTGGGAATATCCGTCTTGTTCGAGCAGTCCGTAGCTAACGCTGCACGTTCTTCGGCTGACCTGATGCAAGCAAGTCACCGGAGGTTAGCTATCCTATTTGCAGTAGGCTCCTACTTGATTGCCGCCTTTCTGTCCTTGGGACCGCTGGTCGGTTTTGGAGCGTACGATGTGGGAAAACACGGATTTAGCTGTACGGTCATGTGGAAGAACCCGACGATTTCGTCGTACCTCTACCTCCTAACGCTCTTTCTGTTTGGCTTCTTCGTCCCACTCTTATTTATCGCTGGACTCTACGGGAAAGTAGCGGTAGACCTCCGATCTATCGGAAGATCGGCCAACAACCCGCATCCACACACCGACAACAAGTGGAGCATTGTTTGCACATCAATGTTGAAGGTGATACTTGAACATGATATACCGAAAACTGAAACCACAATATGTAGGCTTGTCGAGATTCCATGTCATCTGACAAGCCATATCTCTAAAGTTTTGTTGATCAAAGTGGGCTACTTCAGATGGGAATAAGTGTGACGATTGTCTTCATATGTTGCTGGACGCCATACTGCATCACCTCAATCTTCGAAATTTTCGAGAGGGGTGACGAGTGGATTTCGGCCACACTAGAGGGAAGCTCGGCCTTGTTCGCGAAGTCCTCAACGGTTTGGACCCCGTTAGTCCATCTCTACTTCATCAAACGTTACCGAAGGTTCCTGAAACATTTCTGTTGCTTATGTCGTCCACATCACCGTTGTCGAGTTGAATGCCTAGCTGTTGGCGAGAGGGCTCAAACGTCTGACGCCCATTGGCCACAAAATGTAATTCCAAATGACTCGACAGCTTTTTACTGAATATTTTGTTATGCTATGACGACATTCACCAAAATTTTAAATTTTACATGGTTATAAAAGGAGAGAGAATTTCAAGCGCTATTTTTTACAGGAATAGGTGTCATAAAGTAAGACACAGGCCTGCCGATAACGACGGTACTTTGGAGGTCTTCAGCGGTCACAAGTTGATAGTTCCCGGTGATGTTAAGTGCCCTACCCGGGATAACTTTACACAGTTGTACTTTCATGGCGGCACTTCCGGTCCAAACATTTAGGGATACTGCAATATCCCGCTTGATGATAAAGCGTTCGTTGTGATGCGCGTAGTCTTTTCTTGTCAGCGAAAGTAACAGCCTACAGCAAAGTGCGACAAATTAAGACCAAAATATCTCAACAACAAAAGGGGGATGAGCAAAGGTTGTACCTTCGGTCATCAGGCATCAGCAGACACATAATTACCCCACCCATGCTTCCTACGCCCTCAATCACCGCTTCAAAGGAAACACGATGAATTGTTCCGGCCACAATGTTTACCGGATACTCTTCGTTCTCCACAGGAAGCTTGATTTCAGCTTTGATTTGTTTCAAGCTGACTGAGCCGGTGTGAGGAACAGGAATATTGGAGCGCAGAACCTGCAGCAGGATTTGCTCGGGGATCCTCGTCCGTTCAAGCAGAGCACCGAACACTGATGCGGCATTTGCCTATATATCAAACAGATTAAATCTATAATGCACAAATTTTCAGTCCGTAAACTCGAGCAAAAAATTAATCAGAAATCTTTTTCAAAAACGTTATTCGCATTTACACCAACCTTGACAAGACCTTCGAGGTCGTTATAAAAAGCCGGTGGAATTTCCACCAGGTCTCCAGCTCGCTCACTATAGACTAGGGTGCGCAGCAGCTTTTCCCTGATTGCCAGCTCTTCTACAGTCCGAGTATCCTCTGTGGAGCTCGAAGAGAAGACTGTCTTCATCTCGTCAATCACGCTCTGCAGGTCATCGAGGGACTCGGCACCGTGGTCCTTATCCTACAGCAATAATCAAAATACTGTTTAATTCGAATATCAACCGATTGTAAAGATGGAAATAATTTGATCAGATCATTTTTCCAATTGACGCACGTTTTCACGGATACCGGCTGGAAGGGTGCGCCACCTGAGAAAGCGACCTTGTCGGGTCTGACTGCTGAGCTCTCATATTTTACCTGTTTTGACTTCGACTCCGTATAGCTCTTTAACACAGAAAGATATTTCTGGATGAACCGAAACTGCAACTTCAGCCACGACGTAGTCACATGTAACGTCACATCTTGTTCACAGACCATCGTGATTTCTTTCGACAGAACACTTAACGCTTTCACGACCAAATCGAGGCTCTTTCCACTGGAACAGTTGCGCCGGAACGCCACCAGTCTCGCCGTGATACCATTGTGCGGTTCCATCTTCCCTTTCCCACCAGACACCGATCTAAGATCAATCGTCTCCAAAGTCGGAAACCAATCAGGGTACTTGTAATGATAGAGAAAGTAGTGCCTCAAATGAAAATCCAGGAAGATTTTCAGGATTTCTGGTGAACTGGCTGCCGCGTTACACACTAGTGCCATAGTGGCAATGTATACTTTGTCATCGGATTTGGGTTCTGCCGAGTGTAAGTAAGGGTGAATGTTCAGGTAGGAAGATGTTTCTTCCGCAACGGACTGTGAGTTTCTGTGACCGATGGACGCTAGGCACGAACAGATGTACCCGTGATCCGAAGGGTACTGTTTCAGGTTGGCTAGAAGTTCGTTGAAGACCATGCGAACAAGCTTGGCTGAGGAATATCGTAGGGTGGGGAGGATTTGTCGAAGACCTTCGCGGATGTCCAGGTTGGCGTCTTGGAGGACGGTGAGGACCATTTCCAGTTGGTCCTCGCGGAGTTCGACGCCTTGGCCAAGCAGAGGAAAGATTCGGATGGCGTTCAAACGAACATCGTGAATTTCATCGTTGAACATGTCCACCAGAAACTCGGCACCTGAATTAGAAGCACGGTGCAACACAAAAATATTGGGAAAAAAAGAACTGATTACTTTAGGCACGGCCTTGATTGGGTACTTTGTCCTCAAACAAGGCTGTGCCGGGAGTTATTCGATGCAAATCTTTGTTGCTTGTGATTGAGTTTGGGCTGCATAAGTTCCTCAAATCACTGCAACGTACAGACAGACCCGAAAGACGGGTTCTTCGCAGCCAACCGGGCCATAGAGATGACAGCCGGTGCTCGAACTTCCTGGAACTGGTCTTCGAGCGCAAGCACGAAAGCTCCTGTAGCCCCGATGGACATCAGCTTGACATCTTCTTGCTGTAGACGTTCTTTCGGTGCATCGTCAGCCCACTTTCTTCCGCTAGACCACTCGCCACTTTCAAACAGCTGCTTCTGTCGTTCGTGCCCAGCGACTTTGATCCGTAAGTCAGACATAAGTTTCTTGTCCACCGTCTGGTTGATGTACTCGATTGTGACACCGTCCAACTGACCCAGAAGCGTCGCTGCCTTTGCTCGAATTTCAGTCTCCCAGTCATTCACCCGGTCGCAGATTCTACAGAAAACATCGTCGACGAGGTTGATGGTTTCCCCAGAATCGAGGTGCTGCGCCTTGGGCACTTGCGTCGTGGGCTGTTCTTGTCCCAGCTTGAAGATTAGGTCCATAGCACAGGAACGGACTGTGATGGACTGGT